AAATCTTTAAAAAAAAAAAAAAAAGCAAACCTCCAGGGTCTTTCTAGGATTCTCAGATGCTAGCAGCAGTCTTGGGGTGACCAGAAGGAAGAATGAGCTCCGGAAATGCCGGAGCAGAAATTCTGAAGGGGAAGACAGGCCCCAAGGCTACCTGTTTATGACCTATGTGTCTGCTGTTTCCCCACAGAAGGGGTGGGGACCCCACTGAAAGACTGGTCCTGGGAGCTGGGAGGCCTGACCGCACTGCCCAGTTCCTTATGCAGATGAGCCATTCTCCGGGGCTCTGGCCCCATTGTTCTCAGCACAATTGCTTTCAGAATGCTTTCTGACCATTCTTCTCCTCCATTGGGGAATTCTATGACTCCATAGGAAGCTATGTGCCTTATCACTTCTGGGACTACATCATGAGACCAAGAGACCACACTGTACCACAGGACCCAATCCTGGAGCCGGAGGCTCACATTCCAGGCCTTGTAGAGACTGCATTTAGCTGCAGGCACTCCAGGGACAGGTGGCACAGGGGATCGGACTGGGAGCCGTGGGGTGGATGACACAGACCCTAAGAATATGTCCCTGGATTCAGAACCAAATCCTCCTGCAACAGGCTGGCCATGGCTCCTCCGGACCTGGGCATCTTTAGAACTACTGACTTCACGTGCAGTGTCCTTTCTGGTGGCCAGCTCTTCCAGCAGGTGCCTGGGTATTAAGTGCTAAGTGCCTTGAGTACAGAATTCTCCAACAGCCTCGTTTGGCATTGATGCCCAGGCCTGGCCACAAAGCAGGCACGCAGTAACTGCTCAAGAAACACTCACTAAAAATAAATGACCAGTAATCTTCAGAGACGGGGACTGGCATCCCTACTGGACAGATGAGGAAACCGAGGCTTAGACAGGTCATTTATCTAAAACACTGTGCCAAAGGGCTGTACACAAGTGCAGCCCATCCAGCACCGAAGCAGCCTAACCTTGACTCAGAGCACAAGGGAATTAGCAGCTTATAAGCTAAGCAGAGTAGCCTGGTCCTCAAAACAAGCATGCAGGAGTGACCGTGTCCCCTTAGCAGTTAATATAAGGCAACAGGGTCCAATGGCGTCTCCGATGTCAAGCAGTCAGCCACACCGGGTGAAACTTCTAAGTGTGGCCAGTGCTCCTTCTAGAATAATCCAGGCATGTTTCCAAAAGTAGAGAGACAGAGCCTGAAATTTCATTCCTGTTTCTGCAGAGAACAGCTCTGACCAACAGCTTTCCCACTTCTCTCTAGACTTCACAAAACAGGTGACCGTGGGGAGCCCCTCTGAAGACCAGAAGTCACCGGGGGGCTCTCAGGCTGAAGCCCCTCACGTGGGCGTCGTGACCTGCAAGCAGAAAACAAGCACCAAAGCAGCTCCACTCCCACCCACCCCCCACCCCATGCCAGGCAAATGTATAGTCTCCCCAAGATGCTCCCCACCAGGAACAGCCACAACAACAGAAAGAGTTCGCTGCAAGGTCGTTCCCAGACCAGGTCCGGGACCAAGGATGAGGCGCCGACGTCACCGGCGGCCAATGGCAGCCGCACTCGGGTGGCGGGAGCACGAAGGCCGTTTCATAATGAAACCCACACGGCGAGCTTCGTTTATTTTGAAACCGTATTTGCTTATTTTGCAGACGTGATCAAAAAGACATCGGGAGTGCTCTGCAGGGAGGCACTTGAGCCCTGTCGGACAGGAGAGCCTCCTCCAGCCCCAGGGCAGCCAGCAATAACACTCTCCACAAACATAAACTCCAGCGCTTGGTCTTGGTGCTCCGCTCTTTCCCAGCAGCAAACAGCATGGCCATATCAGTCAGCTTCCCTGTTCCACAGCTGGATTCAGGGGTGGGAGGGCCAGCAGGGCTGGGGGGGAGGCGATATGGGCTGGGAGGGACCGACGGCAACAGCGAAGGGCTTCAGCTCGGAAAAAAAACACAGGACCCCGCTAGCTAGTCGAGTTAGCAGTTTGAGCTTGGGATGAGCCAGAGGGACAGAGATGCAAACCCCAACTCCACTCCCTGCATTGAGTTACCTGAGTAACTAAGTAGCTTAACGTCTCTGTGCCTCAGTTTCCCTACCTGTAGAATGATGTAAATAACAGTCCCTGTCTTGTAGAGCTGTTATGAAGAGTGAGTGTGAGTGACAAGGCACACTCACGCATGCACACACACACACACACACACACACACACGCTATTGTAACTACTTTAGGGGATCGGGGTAGAACAGAAGCTCCCGGGGATGTATTGGAGTCGTCTCTTCTTGTCCCAGCATGAAGCACAATGTCTGGCTTGTACTTGGAGGGACTCAAACACTTGTCGAATTTGAATTCAACTGCACCTCTGAACTGAACTGAGGGCGTAAGCCCATGACACCCCCACCCGGATGCCACTGAAAGAAGTGGCACCCTATCTCTAGGCTGCAGCTTGGAGCAGGTAAGGCCCCCGCCAGCTGCCACGCAGAGCAACCTAGCAGACGAGAGCTGTACCTTAATGTTGCAGTTGTCGTCCAGCAGTATATTTTCCAGCTTCAAGTCTCGGTGGACCACACCATTCTGAAAAGAGAAGACAGGTGAAACTGAATGGCTGCTGGGACGGGCGCGAGCAAGGAAGAGGAGGAGGGTGAGCACAGAGATGCGTCTGCCAGATTAAAGAACTGCACCAGCCCGGTGGTCTCTGCCTCCAACCTGCAGGGCTGCTCTTGCTGTCGTGAAGCTCCCTGCCAGCCCCAGCGACAGGAGAGCATTAGTCACTTGCTGTGTGGTGAAGGGAAAAATGACTGGAATCCATTCTCCCCCAGAGCCTGTAAAACAGCAGGGGGACTCTTTGTGGGAATGTAATTCCACAGTGTGAAAGCAGTATCGTCCCAGGCAGCAGCAGACAATGTCTGTCTGTGAGGTGATTCCCAGGAAAGAAGCAGAGCTCTTTGCTGGGGTCTCAGAATGTGAGGCTCACTGGCTTGCTCGTCCGTCTGTCTGTCTGTCTGTCTGTCTGTCTGTCTGTCTGTCTGTCTGTCTCTTGCCTTCAGACACTGCAAAAGGCATGGCTCATCTGCTCTGACCCAAAAACCCAAACCCCGATATGCCCTGAGGATATCACAGGCGGCCCTGGGGCTATTTCCCAAGTGGCTGGGGTAGAAGGCTCTGAAAGTCACTGGCTACTGGCCAGGACTCAATGCAGGGTGAAGGGTGAGGGTGGGAGAGGCCAGGAGACCAGTCACCAGGCTGACCAAAGCAGGTCACTGTGACCGCTGCAGTCAAGCAAATTCTGGAAGTGGCACTGCCAGGCAGCCGAGAGGAGAAAAGGAAGCTGAACCACAGGCTGCTGGTCTCTGCACACCGCGTGTTCAATTCTTTTTAATGATCTTTTAAGCTGGTGAGTGGGCCTGGGAAGAGAAGCAGAACTGAAAAAAACAGCTATTTAAAGCTGGGCTGATAAATAGCAGGGAGTAAGTTTTTAACTTCCTTCAGCATAGAGGACATTTGCAATTGAAGCTGTTCTTTTAAGCAAACCAACTGGTTAGAAATTCCTCATGCTTCATTCAACTCCTTTAGTTCAGAATCTGCATTTGACAACTGGTGCTTCCTTAATTATTTTCTTTTCCATTTGGCGGTTCCTAATATCACTAAAAGTTCTGATCGGGGAGGTGAAGCCATGTATTTTTACTACTTTTTTCTAACCCAAGACTTCACAGATGTGTTCTGAACTCAGAAATGCACAGACCATGGTCCTGAAGGACCGGTACAGAGTAAAGGTCCCTGAATTTGCTGAGTTTTAAGTGTTGGGAGCAGTTTTGTTGAGACTGCAGCATTCCTGGTCCTGATAACAAGAGGGAAGGAGACTCACAGAACCCCACTTATACAAGTCCAGCATCAGCGCCTCTATAATAAAGCCACGGTCTACCAGTCCTTGCGATGATGCCTATGATAATGCATATGATCCGAATTATCAGCGTCTTTTGAGTCAGCAAAGAAAAGTCCTATTATGTTCACCTGGGCCAAGCATTTTGGATTTGAGTAACCATGTTCTAACTACTTCCTGAGTCACTGTCAGTTAACCCAAAGATTTCACCAAACCCCACCATGAAGAAGCTGATTCTTGGATGCCATGCTAGCTAGATTCACTGGCTGTTGTCCTCAACAGAAAAACAGTTTTGGGGGTAAGAATGGACGGGAGGAACGTCTTGACTAAAATGATGAAGAACAACTTGTTGAAATAGGGCTTGAAATAGCTATGTCTTCATTTCCTCCCTGAGACTAGAAGCCACCAAGCTGATTGAATCACAAGCACATCCATTAAGAGAACTATGATGCTGGGCCCTCCCTGGTGGCGCAGCAGGTTAAAGCACAGCACTAAGAAACTAAAGCCACTTCAGCATGAGTTCGACACCCCCCCTGAGGTGACCCACATGGCGCAGCAGGCCTCTCCTGGCCCGCCCACTGCTCCCCTCAGCAGTGTACTTCCTCAGTCGGCCTGCTCTACTCCCCACTCTGTCTCTGGTGAATCCTTTCACTGCCCCTGCATCTCTGGCCTGTACCCCAGGTCTGGATGCATAAATAAATAAATCTTAAAAAAAAAAAAAAGAGAGAGAGAGAGAGAACTGTATTGCAATGGACCTACGTGTAGGGAGGACACTACGTGTAGGGAGGACACACACGGATGTAGCCGATGTGAGGAAAGGTACTAAGGGCATGGAGAGCTTCAGAACCTATGGCCCAGTAATCCCTGGATTTCTGGAATTTCTCTCAAATGAATTACTCAAAGAAAAGGAAAGTCTTCGTGATGACTATCGCTACTTAGGATAACCAGAAATTGGAAGCCATTTAAATGTCCAACAATCACTGAAATGACAGAATTTTGAATTACACAGGAGAATGTTCGACTTCAAATGCTAGGTACATACTGCATAAAAATACTTGCAACGTGGTTTTCTGCACTGGACCCAGGAACAGAGGGAGATTATGGGTGGGAAAACCAGGGAAAGGCAAGTCCAATCTGGACTGTCACTAACAGCATGGGCGTAAAGGGGGTGTCTTGGGTATGGCCAGCGCCCCAGGATCAAAGGGGAAGATGGGCACCTGTCGGCACACTGAATGAGCACTCGGCAGGGGACGCTGCATCCTCTTGGAAACTTGGCTAAACACTGAAAAACCTTCCAAATGAAGTTCAAATACAAAGGAAATGGAAGGAAACGAACAAAAACGCCCAGAGTGGGTGAGCCCTGGATTCTAGGGTGATGGGTGGTGACCCTTGTTCTCTCCACTCTGTCCGTTCTCCGCATGCACCATAGTGAGCAGACACCGTCCCAGGCCAGGGGGAGACCCGCGGAGCAGGAGGTCGTGAGCCGGTACCTTGTGGCAGTGATGCACCGCGGACACGATCTGCCGGAAGAAGTGTCTGGTCTCCCTCTCGGTGAGCCGCCGCCGCTCGCTGATGTAGTCGTACAGCTCCCCTTTGCTCGCGTACTCCATGATGATCACAATCTTGTCTTTGTTCTCAAACACTGTGGGGGAACAGAAGACACAAACACCCCGTTCATCCGACAAGCTGGCGAAGAGCGCAGAGGGGGCTGGGGAGGGCCTCGGCTGGGGTCAGGACGCGAGTCCCGAGGAGGAGGCAGGTGAGTGCTGAGGCCAAGTGGACACGGAGGCTGCCTCCCTGGTTACCGGGGCTCCCTGGCTCTCTCAGGGACCCCACTCCCTGGAAACATGTCTCACACGCCCTTCCCGCCAGAGCCCCCCCAGTGCTCAGAATGGTCCTTGGCAAACAGTGGGGTCTCAGTTAACATTTGTTAAAGGAATGAATTCAAAACATCATGTATGCATCCTGTACAATTACAGTAAATAACTGGGTAGCACTAAACCTTCTCTTGCCCCAACACTGACACTCTCTAGCAGTGATCTGAGCGTTGCTCACTGAGCCCCTGAGTTCACGGCAGAGGCCCGTGGTGGTGGCGGCGGGGGTCCGGGGAGGCAGGAGGGACAGGATGATGGGCTTCAGCACCACCTCCACCCAAGCCACTCTATGCCTACCCATGTCATGCCTGGGGCCTTCATCTAAGATGCCCCTTGGAGCAAGGACAAAATACATGATTTTTGTAAATACTCCCAAAGTAAATGAAAGACTGTGTAGGACACTAAGAACCACCCCTGAAAGGCCCGCTCTCCTTGCATCTCATCAGCTTCCACCGCCCCCCACGGGGCCAGCGGTGCAGGGCTGCTCCCGATTTGCTCCCTCCCTCGCTCTTTCCCTCTCCCTTTCTTCATCCAGCTCCATGCTCTTCTCCTTGCCTGTACTCCTGCCTTTCTAACATGCCTGGAAAATCTAACATGCTTGCCTGCCCTTCCCTCCTCACTGTGGCCTGTACTCAGAGGTACAAGCAATCAACACACTCCTAAGTGGGCCTCTGGGATCTGGCCCTTTCTTGCTGTGTGACTTTAGGGGGGCAGCTTGTCCTCACCGTGCCTGTTTGGTGGACTATAAGACGTGATCATACCAGTCAGTTCTTCCTAGAACTGTTGGGAGGATCTTTAGCTACCGGGTACATGACACACTAAGAACAAAACCCACACTGACAACATGCACTCAGCGAGGCTGACTGGGAGAGCAGGTGCCGAATGTGCTGGGTCCAGGCCTAGCACACACGCACTCACACACACACTCACGAGTGCACGCCTGCTTGCTCTCCCTCTGAGGACTCAGTTGAACCGGAACGTGCCAAGCCTGGGTCGCCTGTCCCCCACACCTTGTCACTGACCTAACCCTTCTGCTTCCTTTTCAGCTCCTTCAAGTCCAGCTAAATCTCCCTGATAAAACAAAGGAGGAAGGAGGAGAGACCACAGCCAGACAGACTTGGCTGCTCTGGGCTGCTGGCCTCAGGGTTCTACAGCTCTGTCTCCTGCAGGGAGGTCAGTCCGTTCTCCAAAAATCAGCTCTGGAGACTGGCAAAGCTGCCTTGGGAAGCAGGAGAGGCAGGCTGGCCTGGTGTGCCGAGCGGGGCGGTTTTGCTAATTGCAAAAGAGGCAGGAAAGAGGAAAGAGTGAAAGTACTTCAGCAGGGAAATAAACAAGGGCCCTCACACCCTCAAATGTCTGGGCTATCCTTAAAAGAGGCCAAAGTCACTGCAGCAACAATCAGGGAGAGCACAGGCACAAGGAGACATAAACAATTCAGTTCAGCACGACTCACTACGCCAAACATTGCTCAAAGCAGCTTCCATCTGTAAGTCCTGCTGGTCCTGCCTCAGGAATACATCCCGATTCTTCCATCTGTCCCATTACCCGGCCTTACTTGCTCTGAATCCAGCCCTCTCTGTCCTTCACTCCTGCCCGCTGTGGCCTGAGGCTGGCAGGGCTGGGAAACACTTCCAACGGTGAGGTTCATGGAGCACTAATCCTCAAGCATACTGGGAGGGGGAAAGTTCAGGCAGCCAATACGGGTGAAATGTCTGCAAAATGCTAATCCATGGTCATCCTTAGACAGGTTTCTTTTACTCAGATTCGCGGGCTGACTTGGTGGTTTCAAGATTCCTATTGAAACAAACCAGGGGTCGGGCGGTTTCTTTTACTCAGATTCGCGGGCTGATTTGGTGGTTTCAAGATTCCTATTGAAACAAACCAGGGGTCGGGCTGGGAAGCACTGGATGAGGAGGTGATATCCAAGAGAGATCGGTCCCTCGCTGCAGAAAGACAGGGCTGGGGGCAAGTGGGTGACAAAACAATCCAAGTGACCAGACTGGTTCTGAGACGCCGCCCCTGCCTTTCCCTAAGCAGCATCTCACCCCAGGCTCTGACGGCAGCTCTAGACCCGTGCAACAACAGTTCAGGTGTGGCGTCTCAGTTCTGCATGAAGCCTCCTGAGCCCTTCTACCGAAGGCTGGCCACGAAGAGGTTGAGCTACTGATAAGCATTTTTGCATGAATTAAGTCTCAGCTATGGGCCTAAGAGTACCCACTTTACAGAGGAGAAAGGGGTACAGCAAATGCTGTGATCACAGTAACAGCTGTGGTCACCAGACAGGTGCAGGGTGGAGCCAATGCTCACGCTCGAGCTCTGGGTTATGATGCCATCAGACATACACACCAACCTCCCTGGACCTCAGTCTTGTCACTATTCAAGTGAAGCTCATGATTCTCTTACGCAGTCTGGGGGGACCCAGTGAGTTCCCAGGCCTCGAGCCTGCAACACGGGCCTTGGGCATTGCTCAATAAAATGGAAGCTAGTCTCATGCTTTCTCCTTCTGGCTCCTGGGAAGCTACAGCAAAACAAAACCTTAAGATCTACGGCTGCCACAGGATCACAGGACTCCTAGACAGGAAGGGACGGAGAGATCCACTCCTGTTTTTCCCGAACAGCCAGGATTTACAATGTCTAAGAGCAAGGTCTTGGGAATTTGCACTCAAGAGGTCTTGGGGCCCAGCTTTCCAGAAAGCTGGAAGAATGGCCAGGTGCCACACCCTCAGCCCAAGATTCCTTGGCCACGGTAAAGCCACTGCCAGGAAGGTGACAGGAGCTCTCAGCCATTCTTCTGGCAGAAAGGGCTGCTTCCCTTGGGCACTTTTACAACTGGTTATTTATAAGCTCAGAAATCTTGTCTGTGTTTATGTTATTAGTCACTAAGCAAAAGCTTATTTTCCACCCGTTGGGAAGGGTTTCCTTTCTGAAAAATGAAAGCCTGTGTCTCCTGGCCAGACAGTTTACCCAGAAGCTTGGTGGCTCCAGGATGGTTAAGGAAAACGATGGCCCTTGACATGCCAGGCCTACCAGGAAAATTAAAACCCTGAATAGAAACTGAGCTGAGCTGCAGTCAGCCCACACACTGGGCAGGTCCATGCAGCATAGCGTGGTTTTCAGCTGAGCAACAAGTGTTTGTAGAGTACCCGCTGGGTGGATGGCACTGGAGCCTGGGAAGGCCTCGTGGCCAGGTTAAGAAGGGGAGGAGAGGCAGGCCAGGCGGAAGGCATGTCATGAGCAAGGGTGGAGGCAGAGCACCGAGTGCAGGACTGTGACAGCTGGCAGGTAACGCAGATCAGTGGCCCTAGAAGCCTACACAGGGTCTTGCCCACCACCAATACTGCCAAGACAATGCACAGAAAACAATGGACAAGGTGACATCCAGGAGCCTGGCCCATGAAAGAGACCAGCTCTTGTTCTCAATAGTCTTCCCAGACTGCCATCCCGCCTTCTAAAAGGCTCATCTGGGCCATCCCTGTTGGCACAACAGGTTAAAGCACAGCACTGCAAAGCTATCAGCAGCCGCATCACACCAGTTTGATCCCCGGGCAGGGAGCTGACCCACATGGCATGGCGGACCTCTCCTGAGCCGCCCGCTGCTCCCCTCTGCAGTGTGTTTCACTCCATCTGCCTGTTCTGCTCCCCGACTGTGTCTCTGTTGAATGTTCTCACCACCGCCACACCTCTGGCCTGTACCCCAGTTCTGTATGCATAAATAAATAAACCCTAAGAATAAATAAATAAAAGGCTCATCTATTACCACAAAAGTTCCCGTTCACTGAACAGTGACAGCATGTCACGGATGGTCACATTTAACCCGAATATGCCTATGAGATGCATATTAACATTATCCCTATTTCACAAGTAGGGAAACAGCACTCAGATGGAGAAATGGCACCACCTGCCCTCCATAGACACCCCCTCGCCGCGTCCTTGCTGTCATGAGCCATCTTCCCAAGGAGAAATAAATGAGCCAATGTCATGAATGATACAAGGCAACCTCACACATTCTTGTTGCCAGCTTGGCGTCCTCTAAAAATGGACTTGTGCAGTATATAGTCTTCTCTGTCCAGCTCTTTGAGCTCAACATGGTGCCTGAGAAAGCAATCCCAGCTGCTACACAGGGCGGAAGGCCGGCTGCTCCCTGTGCTGCAGAGCTACCCCCTGTGAGCGGGTCCTGGTTGAGCCCTCCCACCCTGGAGAGGCACCTGGGCTCTTCCAACAGAGGGTCATTATGAGTGTTGCTGAGGACACTCTCGGGCATGTTGCCCATGCTCAGCTGTGGACTTCCTGTTGGGCAGATCACAGGTAAGGATTTGATCCTAAGTTTTGTGATTCAAAAGCTTATGCTCTTGGCATGACTCGCCACCACCTTCCTTCACCATGCCCACCCTCCCTGCCTCAAACCCAGTAAGACTCTTCTTACTGGGCCAACATCACTGCCTTTCCTGAACATGCTTTTAGTATCAGCCACTCTGAAGCATTTATCTGAGCCTCTGAGCTTTGTGTTCAAGTGGATACAAACACAGCTGGACGCACAGGATTTGTCCTGGAGGAGCCGTCATGTAGAGCAATTCATCTAGTACTTAGCAAAGAAGCCAAGTTGAGTCAGTCTGCTACAGACGGCGAAGTCCCTAGACCATCAGCGAGAGATCCATGAGGTCTTTGGAAATGTCAGAAGAAGCCAAGGGAAAGCCGGCATGGGACGCCACCATCCAAAATGACTTGGGTTTTGTCTGCAAGACGTGGCTTCACCATTGTTTCAGCATAT